AAAAAATAAATAAAATAAAAATACAAATACAAAATATAAAGAAGAGAAACGTAAAAAAGTTATCAGAAATCAATGCGATAAGCGGTTAAAGCGGGAAACGCCGCAGCAACAGCAACAACAAAGCAGCAGTAGCAGCAGCAGCAGCAGCAGCAGCAGCAGTAGCTGATAAACAACAGTCGAGGTGAGTTAAAGCTTTGAGTTGCACTCAACCGAGTTGAGTTGAGTTATTCTCGGCGCTGAGTTGAGTTTGAGTTGAGTTTGCTGGAGCGCCTGCGCCAGCTAACGGTGTGTTGATGACGTCGCCGCTAAGCCAAGCTGGGCAGGCAAAAGCGCAAAGAGAACAAATTGAGCGCAGCAACAACTACAACTACAATGAAAACAACAGCTAAATCCGCAGCCACAGAGCGCCACACACAGTTACAGCTCCAGTTACAGCAGCACACAGCAGCACCAGCAGCAGCAGCCGCAGCAGTCGCCGCCACTGCTGACAAAATAAACAACAAAACGAAACGTCTTACAGCGTCAGCAGCGCCCCAGCACCAGCGCCAGCGCCAGGCAGCGACACCGACTGCGACAGCGACAGAGGCAGCGACAGAGGCAGCGGCTTCAAAGCATCCGCTCTGAAAATCAGTGCAGGCAACCGCAGCGTCGTCCTAGGCCATGTGCGGCTAACGTTGTTTTGTTGCCTTGGCTGCAGAAAAAGTTTAAAAACAAAAATTCAGCACAAATTCAAAATCCAAAAATTTCAAATATATCCACAATAAAAGCATTTAAGCAAATTCTGCTCAACGCACAGTTGTTGCTCTAGTTTTTTTTTTAAGTGTTTTGCATATATTTGTTGTTTTTTTTTCGGTTATTTTTTGTTGTTTTTTTCGTGTGCGTGTGCCAGAAAGAAAGAAAATAGAAAACGCTGTTTTAAATTACGAGCGGGCGAAATTATGAAATGTTAATAAAATACAAATGCGAAAAGCTGCAAAAAAAAAAAAAAATTATTAACGTTTCAAATGAAAAATTAAAAATAAATAAATGAAAATAAAATATATATCTATATATGTATATATATGAGCGTATCTATTTGAATAAAAAGCNACTATTTATTTGTAAATAAAAGCTATATGTTGAACTAAATACGTTTTCTGTTGCCCTTAGTGACAAACTAGTCCAAAACACAATAAATTTATATAATATTCACTAATAATCATATACAAGTTTTTTTTTTTTTTCAAAGTAACACTCAGCGGAATATCTTACAGAAATACTAGAATTCTCTGAAATTGTTGTCGAACTTTTAATATTATACTCAAATGAAATTGTCATATCATCAAAAAATGTCAAACTTTTCACAAAGTTGCTCAAATACTCAAATGAAATTCTCATGCCACAAAATACACTTAAAAGCGTAAACAGAGAATACTTAGCTTGTTCAAGTTGTAATTCTCTAGAATTCCTTCAAAACTTCTTATTACTTCACTTTGCAAAATTAAATTCTCATATTCTCAAATAAATACTCTACATTTTATTTGTAACTTGATTTATTCGACTCTTTGATATTGTTACAAAGTATTCTGAGTACTAAATTAGAATAACATGCAAAGGCATACATACATACATACATACATACATGTGTACGTATAAAGCTTTTATCCAGGTGCCTCATTCTATCCACAATAGTCTCGGCTGCAGCGCATTTGGCAGTCAACCGAACTGAACACGAATTTGCATTCTGTAATGCAGGCGAACCGTTGATCATTCATTGCTGGGCGATGCGATGCGCAGCGGACGTCGACGCCGACGTCGTCGCTCGTCGCTTTGGCTCTGCGTGTTTCCCGCTATTGCATTGCGCTCGGTTCGGTTCGGTTCGGTTCCGTTCGGTTCGGTTCGGCTTTGTTTTTCATTTCAATTTTATTATTTTGCGTGTGTGATTAAAATCGTGTTCGGGTGTATGTGTATGTGTGTGTGTGTGTGTGTGCCCAGCACATGTTCACATATAGAATATACATTCACACACACACACATATGCATATTTCTATATGTAGTTGTACATGCTGTGTCTGCCTGTGATTCTGATTCAGTTGTCTCAATGGGTTTTCTATTTCCAATTCAGTTTCCAATTCGTGCGGCCCGGACCAGACCTGACCAGAGAGACCACACCAGTGGCTGATTCAGTTCGATTTGCCGCCGCGTTACGCTTCAGCGCTGCTACGGCCACCAGTGATCGTAGCCCACGTTTGATCAGTGTAATTGCTGCACCTCCAGCCTCCTCCTTCTGCCCTGGCTTACCCAATCCCCTCCACCCCCTGCGCGGCAAGCGCGCGCGCGCGCGATCGTTGATTGATTTTGATTGCGATTAACGATTTTCAGTCAAACTATCGCCCATGTGTGTGTGTGAGCGTGCGTGCGTGCGTGTGTGTGTGTGGCCTAGTCAGTGGCTGATAAGAGCGCATAAATTACGCTAAGTGAACGTTGATTGAAAAAAAAAATAAATAAATAAATACAA